AATGAATACCGGCTCCATTTCATAAATGAGAAAACTGAGGCTACAGAAGATGAATAAGTTGCCTAAGTAAACATTTATAATTAAGTATTGAGACTGAAACTTAATCCATGTCCTGTGAATTCCAGACCACTCTGTCTCCCCCTGAATCATATAATTAAATTCATTTACTGTACATATTTTAGTACATAAATGAAGATGTATTTGTCAATAGTTCTTTCATTTATTTCAGTCTTCAATCTGTCACTCAGTTGTTATTTATCCTCACCTTCTATATTATTTGTACTTTACTACATAAATTCTATCAGAAAGAGAATTGTCAGACTGAAACAAAGAGAACCAAACTTGAGTCATTAGCTCCTCTGGTCTTCAACTACTGACGGAGGGAAAAAATTATCACTATAAAGTAAAAGATTATAAAGCTTGGAGCTTTGAACTAAGAACTTAAGCTTTTATTTTCCCTAAAGAATTTAATTTTGGAAAAGACTGTATCAATTTTATTTTGGGATATACATCTATATAATTTTAAGGGAGGGCCCACCTAGAAAATGTAAACATTCCATGATGTCTGGCACCTTACTCCATTTGAATATTAATAAAAATTAAAACCATTAAAAACAGAAGCATCTAAAGTGACCAAATCACCCTAGAGGAGGAGTCACCATCAAGGTGACATCCAGGAACTGGTCTGACACATACAGCTACCCCTCAGTGCTGTTGGCAGCTTGCTTGGTGCTCATAGCTAGGCTCTCTTATCTCCTGTTGGAACTAAAACCATCACAGAGAACATTAACATCAGACAAGGTCACTCTGAGACTGTGATAAAGTGAGATAAAACAAGGCCACTTCATACACAAAAACAAGGTCACAGTGGAACCCACAATGTTCCAAACATTCTCTCTTTCAGCTAATATGAGTGACAACCTCTTCTTCCCAGTTACAGCCAGTCTTCCCTCCTCCTAGATAATTTATTAAGATACCCAATCATAGAATTTCTCCCTTCCTTATAGTATCAAATCTGGAGAAAAGCCCCACTTCCTTAAACCCTCCTTGATCACCAACACAAGCCCAAATCCTTAGTAAGTCTTTCTAACGCCCTCTTACTGAGATGCCCCACAGTTCCCTACGTTGATTTTCCTTCCCCATTAAACTACAGGCGTCATCCTGATGGACTCTGACAGAAGGGTATTGACATAATAATATCACTAATCTTATACATTGTTTGCTATTTGTCAAGGTCTCTCCCTTATAGCATCTCACATGGGCCTCTCACAGTCCTGTGTAGTGGGTATTCCCATGGTCCCTGTTTTACAGATGAAGAAACTAAGGATCAGAGGAACAACACAGATATTAAATGGTGATACCTAAATTTAAACATATGTGTTCTCTTGAGAAAGTCCAAGATCCTTCCACTATACCACATCAGCATATTATTAAATAGACCCAGAAAAGTCCTATAAAAATTCTTGGATGGGTACCGGAAATTTGGACGTGTGCATGTCAAGGAGATTCATTCAATAGTAATTTATCGGATAGTACCAGGTACAAAGTCGCGTGGAGAGATAAACAGGAAATGGAAGAGAAATTCCTTGTCCTCAAATACATCAATTAATACTACTATGAACTTGATACTCACTGAGTGACTGCAATGAAAATTCAGAGAAAATAGAAAACATAGGTTGGACTGGCAGCAGTTGTAAGTTTGGTGAGAAAAGAGAAACAGATCACAAGGACCATTGACCATACACATACATACACATGCCCTTCCCTAATATCACACTAAAGTATTAGTATAGATGATAAAAGGAGGACAATGGGGTCACTTATGTTTATGAGTCAATGAATGAATCAGAGTGAATTCCCTTTGTTGCTCTATACCTCCAGCCCACCTCCCCCCACCAGTCCCAGTCCCTGTTCTCAGACATGGTACACAAATCAGTAACTAACAACTCAAACCAGGAGATACCACATCAACGCTTTCCTTTCTTTCTTCTCTCCTTATATGGATCCCAGGCAGATGGTTTACCCTCACCTCAAAAGAAGTGGGAGGAAGTTGGATGTTGACTAAGGAAAGTACCTGATAAAAAGAGGATGCTATCTACTTAGAAGATGATATCAAAATTTACATAAGGAAAACATATTTCATTATTTGATGTGAAGAATAGACATCATCCCTACATTGTATCCACTTCATTATAGTGGTTACATGTGTTTCTTAAAAGCAGGATGCTGGAATGACGCGATCTCACACTCAGATGTCACTGCCCATTCCTGCAACCCACATGGTCAAATCTCACAAAGGTGGTGAGTAGAGATGCAATTCGTTGTTTCAAATGTTTCTTCTATCCTCTTCTGGTCCTCACTTCACGATCAGTCTAACAAGGAGAACCAAGTGTAGGTCTTGGCCCACTTTCTTCATCACTGATGCACTTCCTACCACAGCTCTACCCCTTAAGATGATGTCTTAGGGATCTCAGGTAGGATGGCTACAAGAAATGTAGGTTGACCACTGAGTTCTCAAATTACTACCTTTCACTGAGGTAGAGTATTTATATTTGTTTTTCAGAACTACATTCGACTTTTCACATGCTTATGTCTGAATCCTTCGAAGAGATTGCAAATTTCTTGAGATCAGGGAGTGTTTATTCTCAGTAGTGTCTTACATCTTGTCAATACTTGATGATGCTTTTATATTTAGTGAAGGCGCCTGAGTTTAGCTATAAGACAATTAGTTCTAAGGAGAATTCCAAATGTTTGCACCAAATAAATCTTACACATTTTAAAAGCAAAATGCCAAAATTTTGGCAGAGTATAAAAATTTTTGAAACATCATAGCTATTAAAATTCCTTTTCAGATAGTAAGGAAATTGGGATACAATATGGTAAGAATGTTACATTTCTTATGATGCAACTAAATTCCAGAACGGAAATAACAAGAGTCAGAAATGACACACGATAAATTTATTAAGTACTCAAGATGGACACATAATGCTCACTTATGAAAGAATATGAGCTAGGCCAGATTTACAAATAATATAAACATAACTTCTAAAAATTAAGGACCTAGACAAAAGAAAGCCATCTGATTTGAATGGTCTTAGAGTGATTCCAATGATAGTGTAATACCGTTAAAATATAACTAGGCTTGACAACATGTGGCGTTATTACTTGAGTGATAAGGCAACAACTATATCAACTTAGGCAGATGAGTTTTCTTATCTGAATCCTAACAACTTAGCATCCCTATATGCTGATATTCAAGCATTTTACTCCTAGAAAGTTCACGGAAAGTTAACTATGAGAAACCTGGTTGATAACATTAACTGATCAGTGTCATTTTATCTTCGTACGTGTGGGGATCAACTGAGGTAAAAGAAGTAATAAAAACTAATATATTAAAAGAGAGTCTATAGTTAGCTATTGTTTTTTATATCCCCATGTAATCTATTTTTTCACACTCCGTGGATAAATCAGAGGGAACTATATTTGACTCTCTGTAAATGTCACAGCTCAGCACTTAAAAAAAAAGATTCTAAAATTTGTATAAGTTTGCCTAAATCTTTGGAAAAAAGCCAGAGCATAAATATATACATGTGTGTCTGTGTGCCTATCTGTATGTTTATAGAGAGACAGATTTCATAAATAGATTTTCTGGCAGTGACTTACAAATAGGAATCATGATTTTGACTCCCTAGTATTCCTAATGACATGAATATTGAATTGTATGAGTTATATTCATAGTTCATAGAATTCATGAAATTCTAGGGGTAATGATATTACCCAACATAACACTACATCTTTAAATGTATATTCCTAAGTATAGCAACCTAGTTGTCCTTCTCGGAAGTAAAAGGGAATAATTGAACTTGTTAGGTGACTGTTACATATCTATATTTTGGATGATTTTTCATAGTATTAAGACGTTTTAGACACTTAAAACTTCTAGAACTTTGAATCATTGCCTCATAACATAGGATATTAACTTGGGGGAATTTATGGTGCAAAGGGACTGCATGTGAGCTGGTTAATGTGTTTGGAGCACATTACTGGGATCCCAACTATGTTGCCTGCATGCAGAATATGTAACTAAATGGCTCCATGGGAAAAATCTCCCAAGGAGCAAATGAATGATTGATTATTTATATTGGTCTTTGCCATTTGCCAATCATGTCTGTCCTTTCCTCTAAAATGTGCTTTTGCTAGTCCTGGTACATTCTATCATTTGTGTGTGTGCATTTTCTCCCATAAATGGTAAGTCCCTTGAAGCTGGAGATCAGTCTTGCACATTTTATAGGTATTTGTTTTATGTTTGAATGTTCCAATAACCTAAATAACAGCATTATGAAGATTTCTCTCTGTAATAATGGATGAAATTATCAAGGACAGGTAAAATAGAATTGAAATATTTTAAAGGAAAGAATAATTTAAGATAACATAAATACGCTCTAAGAGAACAGACTATACAGTTTTCATAGTCACATAAAGATTATATGCCATTTATGAGCTAAGCATTTTATGCCTTTAGCAGTGAGTCCAGAAAGGCTGGTTTCCTAGCAAATATCCATCATTTTCATACATGGTCAGTGGCACATTCCCACCCCTTAACTGAATGAATGTGACAGAGTAACGTCAGAAGGATCGACTCTAGTTTCTCTAGTTGCAATATGAAGGCAACAGTCAGTCTCAAGTCTTTGGGACACTTTATAATTTTCCCAGGAAGGAAAACCAAGTATAGATAAAATCTTGGTGGAAAGCATTAATACACATATTTATAGAAATCCAATAGAGGTGAGCATTTATTGGTACTCATTCAAGGAAATATTATAAACCATTGCATATGATAGAATCGAGAAAGGTATCCAGTTTGGACAAGAAACAATAACCAAAGGACACATTTTCCAATGTGAATGAATGAAAGTTGTACTCTTAGTATTTCCTACGTATACTAGGGACCATATACAAAGTACACAAATGCAAATTTCACCGATGCAGAATACACTCACCTGGGCAGAGAGCAATATTGCAAGGCTTATGATGAGTTTCAGGTCCTTCACACGGCCTTCCTCCATACTGAGGAGGTGTGCACGACCTTGTTCTCGTTCTTTGGCCTCGACCACATGTAAATGAACATAAACTCCATGGTGACCACTCCTCCCAAACTCCATGGACTGTAATAAAGCAAAGAAGCTTCAACAACAAAAGCAGAGAGGTAAAGTCAAAGAGTTTTTTTCTTTAAAGAAAAAAACAACTCATCAAATAGACAAGCATGAAGATATTTCAGAAACTCAGTTGGGTTAGTATTCTTATTTGCCACAAAATGTAAAAGTTAATTCAAAAATTCATTAAAATAATGGAAAATTGCATATACTTTTTTCTGTATTTGAACAGTTATTTATGTCATAAAGTTTGAATGTTTCCTTTTTTAATGGAAATGTACCTCTCTGCCTTGTGGTAAAAGAGTCATGAATTATTTTTAAGTCAAAGTAATATCAACTAAGGTAGTATAGAACACTAAATTTCTTATAATAGAGGTGATCTTCTGGAGTTAAATTTGCATTTAAATAAATAAGGGCCAACTTAATTCTTCCAACACTTAAAAGTTTCAGTATTAGTGACTTTTATGATGTCAAAATGAAAAAAAAATCTGAAAATTGATTGTACTTATTTTAAACAGGTTTTTAACCTCACATTTTAGAAAATAAAAGTATTTTTCCCATTTAAAAAATATGGATGTTTAAAGTCACTGTCTTTTTAATAAGAGGGATATTTCAAAAACTGTATCTACTCGCATAAGATCCTCTTTTTCTCGCTGTTTTAAAATGAGTGGCAAATACAGTCATGTGCTACATAATGATGTTTCCATCAAAGATGGACCACATATACGATCGTGGTCCTATAAGATTAATACCATATAGCCTGGGTGTGTAGTAGGCTACACCACCTAGGTTTGTGTAAGTACTGTAGGGAAGGAAGAAATTTTCTTCTACCCTTCTAGGTTCTTCTGGCTGGTCTAAGAATTAAATTGACATGAGACAGATTAACAGGAGAAAAACAAACAAGAGTTTAATAATGTATACATGGAAGAAACCCAGGAAAACCAAGTCAGACACTAAAATGGCCAAAGCCCTCACCCTAAATACCATCCTCAACTAAAGACAAAAGAAGATGATCGGGGTGGGGAGAGTCAGAGACTTCAAAGGGAAGGAAGGCAATTCACAGGTAGGAGAAAAGGAGCAAAGCTTTGGAAAACAAGTGTTTTTTTGGCCACAAAGAAACAGAAGAACACAGAGGGGAGTCCGACAAACAGGCTTTTCTAGGTTCCTCCTTGTCTACCACCTCGTTCATGTGATGCCAAGGTGATAGCTGCCCTTCTGAGACAGCTTTTTTAATCTGAATTCTAGACATTGAAGGGGGAGGTAACAAGAAAAACTTTCTGAGTCTTTTGTTTCTTAAAAATTATCAGCCTAAAATAATCCTCATGTTAAAGAGATACACTTTGAGATGGCAAATTTTGTTCCCCTTCAGTACATTCTATGATATTTGTACAACAACAAAATCGCCTAATGATGCGTTTCTCAGAACTATCCCCATTGTTAAGCAACACATGACTGTATGAAGATCTCTTTCTAATGCCATGAAACCAGAAGATGCCTTTCCTCTTCCAATAACTTGATGGCAGTGGAAATCATCCTAATTAATAAAAATTTCTAGAGAAGGCAAATGATCTAATTAAGATGATGCCTAACTTAACTATCAATGCACCAATACTTAAAATATGCCATTATAATGAATTCAGACTTGATCAGTAATACTAACACAACTTGTGTTCCTCCATAATAATCACTGTAATGAATATTGACATCTTTTGCAAAAAGTCCATTAGGGTTTAAAGTTTAGATCCCTTCCTTGCACTGTCAAATCACCAATCTCATCTCAATTCTTAATATTTGGGACACTAAATAATAGCACTCCATGGATAGTACAAATAAAAAGAAGTCAGGCACAGTGTGCTCTTGGGTTCAAAAGCCCCGTCTTGATGTTGAACCTCTGGTCTTACCATACTCTTAGAAGTTCACAAGTTCATGTTTGATATGACACCCAATGGGAGGAGTAGGGGGAGTAGAAATTTATAATAGAAGATGGCAAAAAGATGTTTATTTTCTCCTCAACGTTGGTAGACATAAACAGAAGTGCACACCAAGCGTCAGAGGAGTTATGCGAGTAAATATAGCATATCTAGAATCATTTGCATGTACGTGCTGACCAAGTTTTCACCTTAATACACGTATGTGATACATTAATGAGGAGGCATCTTATTCTCTTCTATTTATGCTGTTGAGTTGCCCCAACTGGTTGTGAAAATATGTTCAGATATTGGAAAAATTAGCCAAATTTACATAATATTCAATGAAAAATTCTTTAAGAGTCTATGAAACTTGCTGGAAAATATATTTTTAAAATACTATACAGAAAAAGAGTAAGACAGTGAGAGAAATTAAGATGTTTACCTTTTTCCCATTTAAGTTTGGGAAAATCAAGCCAATTTGTTTCCATTAGTATAAGAATAAATAGTAAGTCTGTATTGAACTCTAAGGTATATGATCAATTATAGCAAGACTTTTTAAAAGTAATATGTATAAATGTATTTTGTTATGTAAAATGTGTACTTTTAATCAATTTTTGCATTTATTTCTAATTACCAAGATTTCTCCATTTGACAACCTTTTCTCCCCCTATTTTATATATAAAGTGTTAATAGACTATATGGTGTTCATATTGCTGATTCTGTTCATTTTCTTGTTTATCAAATCACACTGCTCTATATGCATTGAACAATCCCAGAAAAAAGCTGATAAATAGGCAGAGTTTTCTCTATTAATCTCAAAGCATTGTTGATTAATCTTGACGGCTTAGTTAAATTACAAAGCTGGAATCCTCTGAAATGTAATGTTACTTACTACTTGTTTACAGTCTTTATTGTTCCATGGTGAAATTTCATGACATCTCCACATCATTTTAAAAAAGCAAAAATACTTTTTTTCACTTGAAAAGGACACAAAATTATTAACAATTTATTATTTAGATACTATTTAATTAGGAAATCATAGCACATATAATTTATAGATGCTATTCATTAGATTTATGTTAAAGATTAGACATCTTTATTGTAATGGCAAATTGTTATATAAATTCTTCTATTTTTCAGTCAAGTATGAAAACCGTAAATGATATAGCCTATTTTAAAAATGTACTTAATAAAACTAAGAAACAAATCAAATTAATCCATTTTTATAGTTTCCTTCTTTACTTAGACACCAGGTATATTATCACATCTCTACTTTGTGCTATCTAGAGCTGAAATGAGGAATATATAATACAAAAACTATATTACTACCAGGTTTTGAGAAAGCATACAAATTATCTTCTGATTTAGACCAGGATGTATAAAATAACTCCTTTATGTCAAAGGTTTTTTTTTTCTTAAGAAATAAATGGATATAAAAACTGTGACATTTACAAAAATATTTCAAAACCATTCCTTAGCCTAAATAAACTTTTTCTGAAGGATTATAATACCCATAGAGTAGACTAATGGTTCTCAGCCAGGGACAGTTTTGCCCCCAGGGGACATTTGGCAGTGTCTGGAGACATTTTTGGTTGTCACATCTCAGGGGGAGGGGGGTGCTACTGGCATCTAATGGGCAGAGGCCAGGGATGCTGCTAAACATCTAAAAATGCTCAGGCCAGCCCCCACAACAAAGATTTCTCCATGTCAAAACGTCAATAGTACAGAGGCTGAGAAACCCTGGAAGAGACCATAAAACTGAGTCAGAAACCAGGACAGTAAATATACAATTTAATGTAGCTCTCTACTTTTCTCAGGTTACTTTCTGGTTATTCCTGTCATTTTCTTCTCTGAATAATAAGAGTTTCTGAAGAGACTATAATGTCAAAGCAACAATTTTGCAAAAGGCTGGATATCTTAGGATCCATATTGGAAGTAACACATTATTATGCAATTTAACTAAGAAAACCCTTCTTTTGAAATTTGACTAATGTGAGTGAAAGGTAACTAACTTATAACACTATTGATTAGCATTTAATAGTGCAAATAAATAAGAGCTCTGATTCTATCATTCCACATATTTTTCTGGAAAGTGATTTTAATATTGTTTGTCCTTGTGTCATTTTCATTAATTAAATGCCAAATACGCTTGAGTACCCACAGTGTGACAAGTAGGTTATTGATTTCTGAGCAATTTTCTTCTTGGGAATTTCAAGGATTATTTTGAAAAGATATTTACACTGTTTAAAGTACGATTTACATTTTTAAATTCACTTTTTGTCACTGTTTTCATGATACATTGTATCAAAAAGAAATACATATTTACCAGCATGGCAAATAACTGAACAAAATATTGAACACGAAATATTTTAAAACAAATAGAATAACCATCTGAAAGATATCCCAATTTCCTATAGTGGGATGCTTATTCTACATTTTCAAAATAATGAAGTTGCAAAATTATTCTTCATGTTTGGAAAATTAAAAAGAAATCAACAAAAATCTTTTCATTTTCTTTAATTTAACATCTGAACCATACCAATGATTAAAAGATACATATTTCTTATCATCAGTACTAGTTAACCAAATTTAGAGAGACAAACCTATATGTCCAGGAAGGTGAAGAAGATGAGTATTAGCATGTACTTTTGTAGGTATAACAGTAGGAGGTCTAAGAAATTGAGGAAAAACTTTATAATCATGGAATTTATTCAGTTTTCTGGACACCAGCACAGAGGGAAAGGAAAAGCCCTCTGGTCCCACTACAGATGCTCTCTGTGCCCAGTGAAGAGATTAACTCGCATCTCTGGCACAAGGATGGAGACTTCCATATGTCAACATACGAAAGTGCATAACCAGTGGCTGGAGGGGAATCTCCGAATGGAGAACACGTCAGCACCCACTCAGACTTCCACTTGGAGGTCCCTTTGCCGTTAAACTCTCTCCTTGTGTGTTGAAAGGATCCTGACTACTCAAAAGGATGCTGACAAGATAAACTTATACTCTATCAAGTACAGCTTAATTCTCTATTGACACTTTTCTCATTGCCCAGGATAGGGGACTGGACCCTGGAACCCTTAGCATAAATACTGTAAATAGGGGCCAGCTTTAAGTGCTAGTCCAGACAACACACTCTACCCTCACCCAGCTGAAAACCCACAGCATTTACTCATGAGGTCACTTTACCTATACAGTCTAGAAATTGCATAATTCCCCAAACTCCAGCTTCCTGTTCTTGTTTCCCTTCTCTGGCCTAACATACTTAGAATCTGTTTGCTCCAGGACCTGTGTCTTTGTCACCTTTTTTCACTGTCTCCCCGCTTCCATGACCTCCTCAGACATTTTTTCTCCTCTGAATCTTTTCATTTTTCACTTGATGCTCTTTCTCGTCTATCTAATTCCCACTGACTCGCGTTGATTTTCCTTGTTTTCAGTGGAAATTGTTCCTCTTTTCCTGCTACTTCTGTCTTCCCTTCCTCGTGGCTTTTTGCCCTGCTTAGCTTTTAATCTGCCTTTGTCTACTGCTTTATCTCCCAATTCTCCTATAAAGGGATCTCCCACCTCATTGCATTATTCCTCCTCCACGTTCTGCCCACCACTTCCTTTCTCTTTTATTTTTCCATATTGCCTTTTATTTTATTGTGATAAAAACACATAACGTAAAATTTATAATCTACACTATTTTTTTTTTTGTGAGGAAGATCGGCCCTGAGCTAACATCTGCCAATCCTCCTTTTTTTGCTGAGGAAGACTGGCCCTGGGCTAACATCCATGCCCATCTTCCTCCACTTTATATGGGACGCTGCCACAGCATGGCTTGACAAGCAGTGAGTCGGTGCGAGCCTGGGATCCGAACCGGCGAACCCCGGGCTGCCGCAGCTGAGCGCGAGCACTTAACCGCTTGCGCCACTGGGATGGCCCCTCGTCTACCCTATTTTTAAGTGTACAGTTCAGTAGCATTAAGCATATTCACATTGTTGTGAAACAGGTCTCTGGAACTTTTTCATCTTGCAAATCAAAACTCTGTCCCCATTAAACAACAGCTCATGCAGACTGTCTTTTAATGGGTCGCCTTTGCCCATTCTGCTGGGAAATTGGGATCCTCCCTGCCCTTCCCCCATGCCACCCACTCTCTACTCTGGGTTTTGGGACTTGCAGAGTCAGCCATCTCTGGAGATGGAACTCACCAGAAAACTTTTAAGCAAAATTTAGATGTGCAAATGGAAAGTGGCTGCACTGCCAGCCCCTTTCTTTATGCCCACCCTCTGGAGGCCTCTGGAAAAGCTGTGAATGCAAGTCCAGTGACAATTGCAGTGGTCAGTACAGTTGTATCACCCATCCATCAAACGGTTGAACAAAAAATATAAACCTGGAGATTGACAACATCATGTGCTTTGACTTCTTGAAAGAAACCCCAGATTCCGTTAGTACCTATTTTTATAAGAAAGTCAGTGGTCTAAGAGGTAGAAATGCGTATGATATGCATGTATACATCAGTTGAGAACAAAATTTTGATGTAACATGGAAAATATGACCCTAAGTGGGCAAACTATTGTGCTGTGCTCCGTTTAACATGAAAGATTATTTTTTTCCACTAATAACTTCTAAGTTTACAAAGCAGTGGTGGCTCTGATGAGGGCAGTCACCTGAATGAAATAAATCAACAAAAAGTCCTTTGGTCAGGGGCACTGTTTTCCCTGATAGGGTCAAATAAGTGTTAAGGAAATAGCCGGCTGCCTTAAAGACCATGTCAACCACTGCCTTAAACAATGGGCACATCATATTTCCAGTATGCTGGCAAATTACATTATTCCTCAAATATTCAGTTGAACATTTTCACCATGTAAAATAAGGAAAGACGTTTGAACCTTAAATACTGTTAGAAGCAGATACCGAAATTTCAAGCTCTTAGTTGGAGTGGGTAGGGGAGTCACTTATGTAATTTCTTGACTGCTCTGAAAGCAGAAATAGTCACACACATAAAATTTCACAGTTGAATAAGAATTACACTTATCCACTCTAATTCAAATACCTATACCCAGTTCATACAAAAATAACAAATCGTTCCAAACGCGTAGCATGACACAATTCAATAACATCCACAGTTGTAGTTGCTGCTAACACTACCTGGACAGAGGGCAGTGTTATTGCAAACCCTTGATTCTCTTAATGGGCCGCTGCAGTGTGTCCCGTAAGGTGATACACAAGTTCTGGTTCGCACCTGCGACCCTTGACCACAAGTGACTGAGCATGAGCTCCACTGGGACCACTCTTCCACACCAGATTCACCTGCGTGCAAGACAACAAATAAACGTGAAATACTGTCTTGAATATTCACTGAGTAAGCATTATACCAAACTGACATTATGACATGCAAGAATAAGTTATATGTAAAAATATGACAGTACATCAAAAGGTACAAGAAAACATTTCAGAGAAAAATAAATTTAAAGAGAGAGACATATTACGCTGATGCAAGGTCCACGTTTGCTATAACCTTGTTAGCAAAACTACTCTTCACAAATTCTACTGTGCTATGGATGCTAAGAAGGGATAGTCAGCATTTTTCAACAACAATGAATGTTGAAGCGATTTTCTTCAAGCCAATCTTAGGCTTTGTACTTTGATGGGAGAGAAAGAAGAATGTATTGCTCAACTTCCTCTGGCTTTGGTGAGCGGGAATACATTGATGAACTCTTCCCTAATCCTTTATTGCATACCCTCCTTTCAAAGGCTGGGTGAGGTGGAGCCCTGGGAGTTCGGGCACATCTAATTTTGATTGTGTTGAACACTGACACTTATTTATAATTTATTCCTAGTGCAGTTCCTACTTTTTCATCCTGTGACAGCTATTTATTTTGTGATAATTTATTTAAAACCCTCCGCTCACAATTTTCCCCATGATTTAGAGTAGAGAAGCAATTTTTACTTGAAATGAAGGAAAATTCCTCTATGATTTCTATTAATTTAATATGGAACCAAAATTTACTCAAAAATAAGACCTTAAAAAGCCAACGAAAGTCTGCATTCATTAATTTTCTTGGAGTAAGCATCACATTGAATGTATGTGTAATTTCTGTTATTATAAAAAGTCATGTCCCAAGGAGACAAAGTCAAGAATTTCTAAGACCATTGCAGTGGGCTTCTAATTCTGTTCTGGCATTGTGTTCAGGATAGATTTTTTACATTGTTGAAAATTTGCAGTTGCTTTTCCCCACATACAAAATTGGGTCATTTACCTGCTAGTAGGAACTATTTAAATTAAATTTGAAAAAGTTTACAGGTGAAGTGTTTCTGAAAACTTTGTATCACGATTATATATAAATCAAGGAGCAATTTATATTTTATAGATTCTGTTTAAAATTTGCCTTTGGAATAGAATTCAAAGGATAGAATATGATAATCCATTGGCCATCTCTTTTGAAAGGTTAGTAAATGACTTGGAAATTACTTGCGGTGCTACTCAAGGTAGCTGATCCACAAGCGATTACTCTAGGACAGAAGGAGGTTGGACAAGAACGTAACGCAACTGCTGACTTCTTCACTGAGAACTTTTTTCCAAAAAAACTGTCAGCTGAAATAAAACATGTGCTTGATAGTAGTTGAATTTACATTCTGGTATAAGCTCCTTATCTCCTCAAGGACCTATAACTAGTTCACAGACGAGCACGGTCCGCCAACCACTTTGGGCAGCATGGATATGAAACGTTCGTTTGTGTATTGGTCTGCATTATGCTTCCACAGACCTAGATTACAATGCATTTATAACTAGATATATCTCACGAGGGCATGGAGTGGTCATCGGGGTGACATATTACATTAAATAGGATTTCTTTTCAGTGACCGGTATTTGTCCTGGAAGGTCTGTAGATATCATCCTTGATTATTTCAGTATTTTTTGCCCTCACCGATTTATATATAACTAATTCATAAAGATGTTATTGGATGATCATTTTGATTTTTAAAGCCATGCCTCATAATATGTTCTTTTACATTAAAGAATACTCTATCAAGATTAAAAATTATAACTCTAGAAACCCAATAATAGGACAATGGTTAAAAATATCCACACACATATGTATATATGCACATATATATTTAGCAATGAAAAATTTAAGCTTAAAGTTAGGGAAAACATAATGCCAATTTTTTTCTTTAGATATTTCAATATGTGTTTGTAATGAGATTAAGTGAAGTAGAAATATTATGGTTGTATGTTATTAATTAAAAACAGAAAACCTTGAACAATGTGAATTCTACAATAAGTAAAATGATAAGGTTATGAATAAAACTAGTTATATTTTTGCACAAAAGCAATCCTTCTCTTACCCTTGTTGTTGTGATGGCAGAAAAAAATGTTTTCATTAAACTGAGCAATGAATCAGAATCATGATCTACCTTTAAATGTATTTCTGTGAAAATATTTAAAGATTTGGGTTGCTTTTAATGTACGACACTACAATGATGTTCCACAGGCTATGCAGTGATGCCTGGATCATGAGAGGTTGATAATTAATGCTCAGAATTGGCCTTCCTCACTCTCTCTCAAACTAATGGTTCACTTTCTTATTCAAAAACAAAATAAATAAGTGAATAAAATATATATTTGCTTTCAAATTATGAGTCAAATTTTGCCAATTAAATACTGGTCTACCTACCAAGATGACCTCGTTATAGCTCAAACGCTACAGTTTCAAGTGACATTTTCATTAAACAGCTATGATTTCCATGCTGCCACTTCCTCATTCCAAAAGGCGTGAAGGCTGTTCTGGTCAAGCACATGGGTCGTTGTGAGAAATATCAACATACTGTGTAAGAAAGTTGTTTTTAAAAAAACTCACTGACATTAAACTAGTAAAGTATAATACACAGCATACTATTTTTAGTAAATGCGTCTTGAGTGATAGCACACATTCGTCTGTTCCTCCGCTTGTAACTGAGAAGGCATATGGAACATCCTGGGGGCTTCAGGACCGAAGGCTCCATGAAGGCTCCTGTCCTGGCACGGAACATGAAAGGAACCTGGGAAAGCTCTGCAGTGACAGTCAGAGGACCTGTGTTGGGTAAATCAACTGCATATCTGCTCTGCGACTCTGAGAATGTCACTTTACTTCTCTGAAACCCTCAATAAAACGAGTAAGACATCTACCGCAAAACCTATTTGTGAGGGTTAAATGAGATAATGTATGAGTGCATTTTAACTTATAAACAAAATATTAACACAAAATTTTGCTAGTATGTTAAAATTATGAAATTAGAAACACACTTTTCGTTTTATTTTTCTGTTTTCGATAACATGCTATATATCACTAATATAGGCTGTTTTCCCCACTAGAATAAACGACTACTTTTCTAAACATGTTTATAAGACCATTTGATGACTATAATGTTAAAAAGCATCAGTAAGTATAATTAAGATGTCTTAAGCCATCTTATTGGCCTTTAATTTAGATGTCTACATGAAATAGCTACATCTTATTACTTCATTTCGTTTCCCTTGTATTCCCTAAATACAGGTTGCGTCCTTGGCTATTGGAGCATTGTCCACTTATGTTCAAACTGGCTTATCTCAATTATTGGACTGATCAAAATGATCAAGTTATTTTGATCAAGTAATGTTCCTTTACCAAATGTTAATCTTTTTAAAAAATTTTTTCACTTCCTTTATTACTTTATAGAAAGCTTGTTTTTTAAATACAGGTTTTACTGATCATATTGATTGACAAGGCCAGGTTACTCACTTTTAGAAGTAATTCTTAAATTACAGTCTGATAGCTTTTGTTTTGTTTTTCCTCATGACTAATATAAGAAACATATTATATTGTCTTTTATTATTTGATTTTACCTCTATTGCATTATTCTTTGTCCTCAAATTAATGTTAGCAAATGTTTATCATTTTTTATATGTAATACCCATTTCTTGGTTTGAAAGACAAATAGAAAGTTTTATGACTAAAACTTAAGTTTCGTAAAATTTTATTGTGTGACACTTAGCCGTATTTATTCAGACTAACTACCTTAATACCTAAAGAAAGTATAATCTCAGAAAATATTTAAGGAAAAAAAACCCTCTCTTTTTAGCTTTATACTGCCTAGTGTCAAATTATGTATTCTAAAAACTATTTAAAAAAATGCAGTTTTCCAGTCTTTTATCAGTATCACAGTAACTTAAATTTAAAATAAGGATTATATGTGTATTTATATTTGCCTATACTATGTTTGGTGCAAAATGAAATAAAAAACATTTATTATTCATCAATTCAAGCATCCAATCAATATTTTCAAAACTTTAATTTTGAAGTTCATTGCATTTTCTGAGTTATTGTTAACAATATTGGGAAATGGTTTTAAAGCTCCTTATGGATCTATTTCATAAGTGTTTCTTCTATTTTATCAAATCATGTGTTACTATATATTAAATACAAAACAATGCCTGGAAAAGAATGAGTAAATGAAAAGAGAAATTAGTAATTTCTCACTAAGAAAACATAATGTTCCTTGTTATTTGAATTTTCAAAAATGAGTTTTAGCTGAAAACTGAATCTTCTTGGTATATGTCACAGGCAAATCCAAAACCTAAATTTGTATAAAAACTGCTGGCCAAATTGCATAGTATTTATGCATAAACTAATTTTACTACATCATTGGAAATTTAAAACTGTGGGTCACCATTTCACTCTTAAGTGACTGCAATTTTAGGGAATTTCAGTAAAACAATGCCTGCCACCTGTTTTGCAAAAGGAGGGACACCTCTAATCTTGCAGGAATGCCCCCAAGAGATGGCACCGGAATGAGGCTGAGCAGTCAGCCCACGCCCTGTGCCTCTATTTAGAGCCAGACATCCTCTAATCTCTGGTCAGTGGTCAGGACTCTTTGCTCCCTGGAAAGGAGAAAAATACACTTAGAAATTTGAAAATTTGCCTGAACCTGGTAATGCACTTTTGGACTTGTTCAAACAAAAAGTAAAAATACAAATCACCTTTTCTTAAAGAAGAAGGTGCTCCAAAAGTAATCCAGAGAAGCAAATCTTCTTCATTTCTGGATTTGGCTGTGACATATATCTAAAAATATGTCCTTACTGCAGAATTTTTTCTAAACATCCTTCCTCTTTTGAGAATTCTTTGACCTACTTGCTACTAATGTATTAAAGTCTGCTACTCATCCATTACCAAGAGCACAATTCATTAAGAATTTGCATTCTTAAATTATAGATGCAAATCTAATGTTCCAAATAAATGCTATGTTAAGAACATATGAACTAAAGGGAATATGCATTCGTCAATGAATTTCATCAAAATCAGTCTGCATGTTATGTCAAAAAGCTGGTCATGGACTGGAAACCTCTACGTTAACGCTAAAACAGATCATCTGGACTGAAATGCATAAAAATTTACAAAGACATAGATGAAACTGTTAGTTTGCAATTTCCTGAAATAAAAGTGACAGCTGAAAATGTTCATAACACAGTTTACACACACTTTCATCTAAGAACGTACCACATGCAATGTAACCAGATGGAATTATAGCCCATTTATTATGATGAGCCAAAATAGGAATGCATTTATTTGTTTTTTTATATATATATATATAATTTTTGGAGGTAGATATTTAAAAGTAATCTAATTAATCTAGAATTAAAAACTTCATAAACCAGAAAGTCATTTTTGTTGATATTTAATTACTTGGAGTATATTATAACTTGTGAATAAAGACTGTTAACTTTTTACTATTTAGCTTGTATAAAACTCTTTTCAAATCAAAAATACTAAATTCTAAAAAAAGTTTTTAACTAATTTCTATACATTTTAACAACTTATATGATGTCTAACATTTGAAAAAATATTCAATATATTAAATATTGTTAAATTAAATTTCATCATCTGAAGTCCTATTTAAAATTCTAATTCTGAAAAGTTCTATAATAATCAATTACTGATGAATTAACTTTATTGACTTTCTTTAAAAGTTTAATGATACATTTTAAGTAGTTAATTACATAAGTAAATAATAATATGTAAATCCTAAATGTCTCATACTATAAGGAAAATACATTTTACGCATTTTTTTGGTGCACTTTTCAATCACAGCTACTTCATTTATGGACTTTAACTGGTGACAAAAAAGAAAAATGGCTCAAAAAAAATATCAGCTCCAAAAACTGACGAATGTGCAGCAAAAGATTATGAAAACATGCAGTGGTTTCATTGAACTAATAACAGTAAATAGAAAAATGTAACTAACGTATTACCAGTTTGTGCCATAAATTTAGCAGCATCAGCTTGTTCCTGAGGGACCCTTTTTTCATGAACAGATCGAGGTCGCTGACTTTTAATTGTATGATCTCCCATCATTCCAAATTCTAAAGACAGAATAAAGGTATATGAAAGCTCGTGTGCAGACATTTCTCACAAATCACATCACTGTCTCATGCAATATGTTCCTACACATACCTAGAACCTACTGATTAAATTCACAATTCTAAATTTGCGAGGCTCTTCTGCTTGGAATATCTCTAAACCCAAGTCAGAAAATCTATAAACGAAAAAAGGTTTCAAGAAGCAATAATAACAGTCAACGCAATGACACATCAGGTTTTAAGTCAGCATAATTAACAGAAATAGTGTACTCTTTTCTGATAATGTTTTGAAGCAATCCATCAGAAAAAATACAACCACAGAGTTAACTGTTGTTTTCCAGACAGAACCCTGACTGAGTACCGCCACTGCTTTGCTGAAGAGTCAACACCCCCACAAGTCTTTCAGCACCCCTCTTGAGGAATGAGGCACCTTGTAACCTAGCTGTCCTAAGGTGAACCTTCACTTAATGGACTATTTTTCCAAAGACGATGTTGCCCTTGGTGTCCTCCAAAGCTCACAGAAAATGGCAGCTGAAGGAATTCTCATTCTCTCCTGCCCGACTCCCCAGTAATTTCTCATCTCTTTTCTAACTACCTGTAAGAGAGTGTTTTCTCCTTTAAAAGTTATATTTAAAAAAGAGAATGATTCCAGGTTTCTGTTATTTAATCTTTTAATGGTATACCTCCTAAGAAAGGCAGAAAATCTGGGCCTAACTCAGAGACAAATAGGGAAGAGAAAAAATAAATTGAACAAAAGAATAGATTCCACATAACATATTTTTTAAAAATTCATATGCTTAGACTTCTGCAAGAGTTCCATGCTTATTGCACCATTACTGTAAAATAATTTTAATGAAACCAAAGCCTAATGTATGTAATAGCTGTTGGTTCTGGTTCATAGGAGTGTAGGAAGGGGAAGAGAATTCCCGAGGAGCAGAAAATTGAGGTGCTTTCTGTTACATCAAGAAAGTGGCTGCGGGCAGGCCCAGTGGTGTAGTGGTTAAGTTTGTGGGCTGCCCTTCCGTGGCCTGGAGTTCATTCAGAGGTTCAGATCCCTGGCGTGGACCTATAACCACTCATCAAGCCATGCTGTGGCGATGTGCCACATACAAAATAGAGGAGGATTGGCACACGTGTTAGCTCAGGGACAATCTTCCTCAAGCAAAAATGGGAAGATTGGCAACTGATGTTAGCTCAGGGCGAATCTTCCTCACCAAAAAAAAAAAAAAAAAAGAAAAAAGAAAAAAGAAAAAGAACATCGCCGGGCCCCAAGACCAGGTCTTTATATGTGACAAAGATGACTGGGGGACACGATCTGATGATAACACAGGTCTATTGCCAGAACTACTAATGCCAAAATCTGGGAATGGATAATTTCACTAGTTTATTGTTTTGCCTTTTCCCCTCAATTTTTAAAATAATCTTCTGCTAAAATATTACCACTTTCTTTGTGAAACTAAGTAGTGTATTTTGTAGGCACTAATTCTACCAACTCATCTTCTAAGTAGGGAGAAAAGACTAGCACGTGTTTCTGTCCAGCCTGGCTGGCAAAGCCCTACTGACAGATAAATTTGTCAGAAATTCTTTCCAGATATTCTACCCAAGAGAACATCCCGTGAGAAATTTGAGAAATCTAAATGTGTTTGTTTTGTCAGTTTAGATAAAATGCAAGGCAGGAAATGGAAATTTCCATAAAATGTCAGTTGATTAAATCTTGTAAAATCCATCACTGTTTTTTATGGCTGCCAACACCCTTTCATTCCATTCATCTGTGTGTACAGTATGTGCTGCCTGGACCATGTTTTATCATGCTAATAAGAAGTATTTAATCACATATCATTTAATGATTTTGGAAATTGACTACTTAGAAAGTTTATATCTAGACTCATACACTATCTAATATTTTAAAATATTATATATAATTGAAAATTTTCCTGATCTGAAATAGCAAAATAAATTAGTAGTGATTTTTATTAACAGTATGCTTTACTTTCTGTCCTCCTGAATTTATCATTTAAATTGTATGTATATGTGTTGTGTTTGTGTGTGTCTCTAACTTAGGGCTTGGAAGTTGGAGTGTATGCTTACAATAAATAAGTTGAGGGCTCTGATGCTCACACTAAGGTTGTTTTGGCGCTGGGAGAGTAAAGGATGCCAAAAGAAAATATTCCATGCCTACAACTTCTTAACTACTTAGTAACTTTATTACCTTTTCTAGTAGAAGACAATTCTTCAACTCAGTGGCCAGCATGATAACAGCCTGCAATCCCTTTTCTAAGGATAAATAGTTTATTTGTACAAGGACTATGATCCTGAAATTTAAGAGTCTGCGTAAGTTGATGGATGCTTCTGAGATGATTTTAAAAGTGTCATATTCACTTTTCAATGATTTCTGAAGTTTAAAAACAAGTGAAGTACTTATTTTTTAAAATAAGCATTAGTGTTTGAGTAAACTATTTGATATTATTAGCCTGAATGTGATTTAAATCTCTCAAACATATGGATAATACAACTTAAACTTCAACATCCTTCCCTGCTGTCACTTCTATTTATCATCAATAATTGATGTTCTATGAGCATTAGTACTGATACTAAAGATAAGAAATTCTTCAATCGTCTATGGGCTTCATTATAGATTTTTTACATAACCAAATGTTTAAAATAAAATTTTTGATTATTGCTTTCAATGTTATTTATCTGAAAAATTACTTTTAAAAAGTGAGAACTAATATGAGGCTTTGATATAACTAAATTCCTTGTAAGACAGAAGACATGCTACCAATTTATTTCTTTTTCTCAGATGGAAAAACAACACTATGATGGTATTTTTTGAATGTTCCGTACCTACTGTTAGACTCAAAACAATCCGAATTTGTAAGTGAAACATATAAACTATTATCTGACCAAGTGAGTTTCTTTTGCCAATGTTCATGTGCCAAGTGTTTGAAAATAAAAATCTTTGTTTCAGGTTGTTATCAATGGTAAGATTTCACAACAAATATTATAGTTTCATCCGTATCTAACAATGGGATATTTTCAAAATATTTGTGTTCTTTTTAAAGATGATATTATCAACCTCACTTCTAACAAAAATAAAGGCCAATTGGATCATCCAAACTTAGAAAGAACAAGCTATTGTTTTTGCTATTATTCTCTTGTGTGGTGAATGTGGGTTGGGGTAAGCCTTTGCATATTATGCTTTCTGAATAATGTAAGTTCTTTGTGAGTTGTTGATTTGTATTCAAATGATTCGGAGTTGGCAAAGATAATATACTACATTAGTTACACGAGAAAAATAGCATCGCCAAATAAAAAGATGATCTGCTTTGGTGAAAGCAATGAAAAGCAAGTTATGGAATCAGATGAAGTAATGTACAGCATAATACCGTGTATGTACACATCGTGCATGGCTTATGAAAATACAGGGTTATTTCCTATATCTTGATGTTGATGGTATCGATGAAGTGATGGGTAAATAACTGTGTTCTTGTGTAAAACTCAAATGACTGGAGGTGGCCCCCATGTTTAGGCATATTTTCTCATAGACTCTTCCACTGTGCTTCTTGAGGAAAAGCAGTCATCTCTGGCAGTGAGATACAGTCAATGTTACGTGAAAGAGTATTGCCTTAAATATGGCTTTATGTCTTTTCTTCCCCAATCCAGGAATACATAAGTAGATCATTAAGAGACGAATAGACTTGAAAACTGACTCTTGACAGTCAATTGTCAGTTATGAAGTTTTTGTCTGGCAGTCAAGGATTACAATAATGTGAAATTGAAGTCATCAAAAAGTCAAAACACACATATCCATTTGTTATTTTCCCATGTGTTTATTTTTCAATGTATAGATGAGCAGAACATCAGATGAATGGGTAGCAGTTATGACTGCATTCTATCTTGCAGTGTAATACTAACTTCACATTGTTAGCTAACTTCCCTTCGCATTTCCACAGAAACCATCCTAGCCCAGGCCATTATTGCTTCTTAACAAACTCTCAGAGTTACGTCCTACTTACATTCTATGGCCAAACTGCACTGCTTTTTGTCATGGAAACAGTCAAGCCACTGCCCCCTTTCTCTCATCTTCCTCCACTTTAAGGACCCGCTCCTCTAGCCACGCCTGCACTAACACCCCACTCCACGTCCGACTCCAATGGCACCACCTCCGTGACCTACTTCCTAATCAACCAACCATGTCAGCCTCTGCTTTCCTTAACTTATATTTTGCTTTGTATCAATAATGGAATCTCATTTTAATTATTCAATAATTAAATGTCTTATTCCTCCTACCAGATTATAAACTTCTATTACAAGAAGTATGGCTTACGAGTTTTAAAATCACTTCCTGCTTTGCACATACCTGGGGTTCAACATTTACTGATTATATAAATAAATTTCATGTTAAGAATTGCCTTTCCAAAATGCAAGTTTCTAGACATCTAGAACCAGTTCTTTAACTTGCTTGGTGAACAGTTCGATGGGGAAATAAAAGTCTTAGTGAAGCACTTGAAAGTTAGTTATGTATGATTATCATGGTCAACATTTCTTCTGTCAACAGGGTTTATTATCCACAAATATATTCAGGTTACTATTAAAATAATTGCAATATTACCTTCTTTAGAACTTAAATCTCACTACCCTAAACAAGGTTAATGCTCTAAAACAGAGCTTAATTTTTGTCAATAAGCATTTATTAATTACTTAATGTGTTAGGTACTAAAGTTACAAAGATAAATAAGAAATAGTCTCTGATATTCTAAAGCTCATAGCCCAAAGAAATCCACTAAACATGGCCTAATCCTTTGAAATTTGTAAAATCATTTATTTTAACCACAATATTAAGCTATACTTGAGACATACTTTTTATATTAATTTCCAAAATAATGTATTACCCTTAACTACAACTTGCTAATAGATCTCCAAAGAGAAAATACATGTTTTAAGCCATGCAACTATACATCTGAAGTGACATTTCGTTTGTCATACCATAACAAGTAAG